CCATCTCTGGCAATGGGAATATTAAAGCCTCTGACTCGCTTGTATTATCCTCTACAATTCATGTTCCCAAAGTTAACACTAACCTTTTATCTGTTAGTAGTTTAACAAAATCAATGAATTGCAACATAACCTTCTTTCTTACTTATTGTGTTTTTCAGGACCTGAAGTCTTAGAGGACGATTGGGAGCGGCCATGAGGCGAATGGGATATATTTGTTGGATGTCTCTAATCAAAGTCCTGGATTACCTATTGGAGTAGCTTTGGAGTCTGTTTTATCAGGGTCAGTTAATAGAGTCATGATATGTCATTTTAGATTTGGTCATTTGTCTTTTTCAGTTTTGAGTCATTTGTTTCCAGAAATGTTTAAGGGAATATCCCTATCGAGTTTTCATTGTGAGTCATGTGAACTTGCAAAACATTGTAGACAATCTTTTTTAGTGAGTAATAAAAGATTTATTTCTCCTTTTCCATATTGTGCACTCTAATGTGTGGGGAAATATCATTTACTTGCTATGGGGGATTACAAATATTTCATTCTTTTCATTGATGATTTCACTCGTTACACCTGGATTTACCTTATTAATTCCCGAGATGAAGTACTAAATTTTGTACAAAAACTCATGAACTTATACTTACCCAGTTTAAAACTTGGATCAAAATATTCCGATTTGATTATGCAAAGGAATATTTTGAGAAGAGACTTTCCTCCTACTTTGATAACTTTGGAGTTATTCATCAGAGTTCCTGTTCCTACAACTTCAACAAAATGGTGTGGCGGAAAGGAAAAACAGACATGCGGTTGAGGTTGCGAGGAGCCTCCTTTTTGCTTCCCATGTTCTTGTTAAGTTTTGGGGTGATGTTGTCCTTACAACTACATACTTGATAAACCAAATGCCTTCTCGGGTTCTGGGGTTTGAAACTCCCTTTAGCTTGCTTTTCCCAAATGAAGATCTCTTCTCTCTTCTACTCAGGATGTTTGGGTGCACTTGCTATGTTCATGTTCACAGTCATCAAAGACAAGTTTGAGCCTAAAGCACACAAGTGTGTCTTTTTGGGATATGCCTCCACACTGAAGGGGTATTGCTATTTTGATCCGGTTCGTGGCACACACTTTGTTTCTAGAGATGTCACATTTGTAGAGTCTGTTCCTTAGCTGAAGCGGAGGACAAGACAATGGCACATGGAGTTTCTGGACTTTTGTGGTTGAGATCACTTTTATAAGAATTTGGTATAGATTGTGAGAAGCCAATGATGTTATATTGTGGCAATAAGGCTGTTACAAAATTGCACATAATCCTGTTCAACATGACAAAACTAAGCACATTGAAGTTGACAGGCATTTTATATGAGAGAGAGTTGCCTCAGGAGAAGTTTATCTACCATTTGTTGTTTCTGAAGACAATTGGCCGATGTTTTGACAAAAGGTGTTCCTAAATGAAAGCTGGTTCATTATATAAGTAAGCTGGGCATGATGGATATCTATGCTTAGCTTAAGGGGGAGTGTAGAGAGGCTGGGTCGAATGGGCCCTAGCCCATTAGTGTCTTTCTTGTTTTGTTTTCTTACTGGGCCTTTTCTTTATGGGCCTTTAGCTCTTGTTTATGTTTGTAAGTATAGTGCTGATGTGGACACCTACTTAAGGGCAAACTTCTAAATCATGTAACTTAAGCTAGTTTATTAAAAGATTAGTGGGAGAAGGAGGAGGGGCCTTTAGCTCTTGTTTATGTTTGTAAGTATAGTGCTGATGTGGATGCCTACTTAAGGGCAAACTTCTAAATTATGTAACTTAAGCAAGTTTATTAAAAGATTAGTGGGAGAAGGAGGAGATTATCGAACTCCTTCTTTCCTTCTCCTTTCTTCTCCAATCTTCCTTCTTCGTCTTGTTGTCTTCTTCTTCTCCTTACTTTCTTTTGCTTTAATCTAAAATATTCTGCTAATTTTATTGGTTTGAATCACATCTCGATGTATTCAGGTCCAATACAAGTAGGTGGTTTAATTAGGGAAGAACTTTTGGCAGTAGTTTTTGGGGTTTAAAAGGCTAAAGCAATGGGGTTGAAAGGTTGATGATTGAAGGTGATTTGAAAGTGGTAGTTGGATGGTTATTCAAGGAAAAGAATGCGGTGTAGAAATTCAGAGATAGACCGTTCCAATGCTCTCAAAAGATAAGCAAATACAAATCAGATGGGCACATGGATCTACAATCTGCTTGGCTAAACAAGGGGTAATAGACAGCAAATGTTTTGGCCCTTTTGGGCTCATATGTGAAAAGGGTGGTGGGATGTGATTGTACTTTGCTCTTTATTGATTGTATGCACTATGAACTATACATTGGAGGAGAAAAGAGATTGCCGATTGGAGAGAATAGCAGTCTCCCAATTGGCTAGACCTCTATCTATGTTAACCTGTGTGACTCAACCTAAATTAATATAGTGGCACCATTAGTAAAAGAAAGATTAATTGATAAATCTAGACCAACTTTAGTTATAACAGCAAGTTAACTCTTATTTCATAAAAACAAAAAACTTTAGTTATAACAGTAGAATATTTGAAAGCCCATGTTCCAAGCAATCACATAACTATAAATATAAATGAAAAGAATGGAGAAACAGCTTGATGGGTTATATGGTTTATCATTTTATTATTTTTCCACTAAAAGACAATGCAATTAGCTATTCAGTTCAGCTACTTCAACTGTTATAAAAAAGCCCCTTAGTTCAGACAAGATGTGGCCACTTGGGATCTTTGAAATAAATAAAATTCATTATGCCTATGCCCATCCACTAGATGATCAAAATATTTCAAGTTTTTGTAGCTGTTGTAGTTTTGGTGCAAAACATTGAGGCAACCTTGCTACTGATGCTTTAGAATTCTAAAGAGCTGTGAATATGTTTTTGTGCTGGTATTTCATTAAAAAAGAACGAGATATAAAGTGGAGAGGAATAACTAGAAGTAACTAGAGAGAATTGATATGGAGAAGAGTGGCACTTTTCAACATTACTTGAGAATGTGGCCTCACTAAGGATGAGAAAATGTGATCACAAGACCAAAAGGTTTGTCACACAGGCCACTTTGTCTTACGGTTTGTAAGAGGTAAGAGGAGGGAGGATTTAGGCTAGGGAGGCTGGTTCTTAGGGATGGCCCTTTATTGGGGAAGTGGTTCTGGTGTTCCCTTTTGGATTCATAGTAACTTTGTCATATAGTAGCCAAAAGTATTTCATTACACCTATTTCTCTTATGCTGGTTTGACTTGGGACTTAGGATTGAAAATAGTTCGAGGGAACATGAATCTTCACTTTCAGTAGACCTTGTGATTTCTGTAGATGACATTTTTCTTGATGCTTCTAGTCCTAATAGTATAATTTGTCTTTTGCAGTGATATTTAGGTAAGTCCTCTTACCTCTATCACTTACTAATTTCCTTTGGTTTTTGTCCCTTTCATTTGGGAGTTGTTTTCCTATTTTCTTTTTCTTTTTTTAGGTGTAGGTGGACTCCACCTATAGAGGATGGAAAAGATCCCTTTGTTATCCATTACTTGAAGCGTGGAAAGTGCCATACATATGTCTTTGTTTCCTCCTCCTAATACTCTAGCATGAATATGATGGTTATCATTTGGGAATCCAAGAACGTCAAATATGGGAGGTGCATTTAGGGATTTTAATGGGTGGATAATTGCAATATGCTTTGGACCTGTTAGAGTGGGCCTTCTTCAAGGACTCAATTGACTGCACCACTCCATACTCATTTTGATGTATGTATTTATGTACATCATTCTTTTTTATAATCGACGTGACCTCTTTAGTTACCTTGAGTGTTTCTTGACTTTTCCTTGATTGAACTACCCCTATTTTTGAATTTGACCTCTCTTCATTAGCTCCTTTATTTTATGTTTTGACTTCATTTCTATCTTATTATCTGTTCAAAGCCTTTTTATTTCTTACTACTAAATTCTACCAATTAAACTCTATCTCAAAATTTTAATGGTACAAGAATGGATATTTTTAAAACAAACCCTAAAATGAGATCATTATTTTTGGTCCTGGTGGGAGGTCAGCGGTTTTACCATCTATATTGAATGGGAAAACTTGTGACAGCATAATTAAATAATAAAAATTTAAAAAGGGATAAAGTACAAAAAATTATCGATAAGTTGTAAACTTTTAAAAAAATTGGGCACATTTCTAATAGTTTATATTATATTTTCTTCTTATGAAGGAGAACATGTGATAAATAATAACTATTTTTTTAATGATGATAGAATGGAATATGAAAGTATTAGAAAAAGAAGAGAATTAGTATCTAACCCATTTCCCCATGACCATGTCAATTTGATTAACTGGTTGGGTCATTTATGGGGTCAGATTGGTTAGCGGTTCAACTGGTCAAGTAATTGGGTTAGCAGTTGGGTAAAACATACCCAAGAATCTAGTTGGATGACAAGTTAATTAAGCTGACCATCCGGTTCAACTATGGGTTGAAAACATTGATATAAACTACATGTGAGAAATTTGAAGTTTGTATTTAGGTTAGAAGGCAACAAATCCACCACTACGCCATGCTTTGGTTGCTTGTCCTTAGATATGTATATTGAGATGGATCAGTGGAAAAACTAGAAAAGAGTGGAACAGAAATAAACATTTTTAATGGAAAGTAGCATACCTCTTTAGGTGATAATATGAGTGAAAGTAGATTAAGATGGCTTGGTGACCTGGAAAGAAGACCATCTACAGCACTCGTAAAAGAAGTGATATGTTAGAAGATGAAGGGGCTAGAAGAGCTAGGGGAAGACCAAAAAAGGACATGGGTTGAAGTAGTAAGAAATGATTTATGGGCTCACAAATTAAGAATGGGTATGGTACTGAATATAGTTGAGTTCACCTTGTTTCTTTTCTTGAATTTACTTGTATTCACTTCTCTTTGCCACATTATCAATATTCCTTGTAGTAATGCTTCTGGTTGATTGATTTGATGATCCATATATCTAATACTTATCTTGATTTTGTAGGTGAAAGAAATTCCAACAAGATTTTCATCCATAAGTCATTATCTAGAGTCGTTTCATTATCCCCTGGTTGAGGAGACAAGAGCAGAGTTGTGCTCATGTTTGGTTGCTATTGCTAGTGCTCCTTATGTGGGCATACATTTTAAGGAAGAAAATGATGTTTGGGAATTGCAATACGGTAGTGAACTGGGATTTTATTGTTCTGTCTCAGGGTCTGAGAAAAGGCTTTATGTCCCTGTAATCGGTGATATGATTCTTTTCTCTACTTCAGTGCCTGCAAATGTCTCAGAATTGACGTCAGGTTTATCAGTTTCTTGTTTAGCGGTTGTTAGTGATGCTGGAAAAGGTGCCACTGGGTACGTCAAAGCTAGGCTTGGTGTTCCTTGGAGCATTGGAACTAAATGCATTGGTAGTTCTTTTGTGGCAGTGTTCCTGATGAATGTTACAAACGCCAGCCATGTTTGGTATTCTTTGCAAGTGGATACTGGTGATTCGTGTGCCAATTTAAACCTTATTAAGAAGGCATTATGTTATGAGAATCTGGTAAATGTTTGTTTCCAATTTGTTGATAAAAACACCAACCTTCTTATCACGTATTTTATTTATGTAGAATTTAGTTATTTATTTTTTTTCTTTCATAATCTTACTTAAATCATTCTTCCAGTTAACTCTTGTCAGATCTACTGGTCTTACTTTTCTCTTTAATCCGTTTTATTGATTTTTAGATAAAACATAAAAACCTCCCTTGAGTTTTCTAACAATCATAAAAACCTCCCTTATGTTTTCACTTTAATAAAATCCTCCTCTATAATTATAAAAAAAACATACAGTTAACTGCCTTCCATCATCATTTCAGTTGAAAAATGATTATATAATACATTTATTTTTTGAAAATACCTTCCTTTCCCTTATATCTATCAACTTAAATATAAAATTACCAAAATACCCAAAACACTACTCATCTTCTTTGCCTAGTAAATGATAACCAGAGGTGGCGAAGAAAACCCAATAATAGGTCCTCCATCCTTCAATTCCCCGTCTCTCCACCTTTCTCTCTCCTCTCACTTTCTATTCTTTTCCAAACCACATTATATTATCCAAACCTTAAATAACAAACATACAAATCGAGAGTGATCTAACAAGTTTGGGACGAGTCTTGAGTAAAAAGAATGGGAAAAAACAAAATGTAGTGAACCAGCGAGTCTTAACTTAAATTTCTCATCTTGCGGAATCTCAACATCGCCATCAGTGATCTCCTTCTGCGATCTTTCAGGTTCTTACCATCGACCATACAACCGACGGAAACACTGGTGCTGAAATTTCCTTACAGTTTTGGACAATTCTTTCGCCATTGATCTAGGCCTTGTAATCCTAGCAATCTTGATAACATCATCAACAGAAATTTTGCCTGTGTGCTTAATATTCTTGCGGTCCCGTTCAGTCTCTTTGAGGGCCTTGATAACAAGAGAGGCTGCCAACCTTCTTTTGTTCTGTACAGTGAGTTCCACAGCCATTCTTTCGTTGTCTCTTTGGCAATATCTTCTCTGACCTTCTTCGGAGAGAGACCGAGTGGTCCAATCTTTGGAGCAAGTGAACTTGCCAAACCGACCTCACCATCAGTAACATGCTCATAGATGTTGGTGGCTCTGGTTTTCAGTTCTCGAGAAGAAAATGAACAGTGATTTGGAGGGTATTTTAATATCTGAATTGATAGGCATAATGACAAAATAGGCATTTTAAAAAAATGAATACATTAGATCGGCATTTATCTCTAGGAAGGGGGGTAGTTGCATGTTTTCTAGAAAATACAAGGGAGGTTATTGTTAAAATGAAAACATAGGGGAGGTTTTTATGATTGTCAGAAAACTCGGGGGATATTTTAATATTTTAACCTTGACTTTTTTTTTTATACTGATGGTTTCTTTAAATTTATATTTGGGAGACACACCTATTATGTTCAACATTTGAGGTCTCATGGTTCATCCACAGATATAGCCCTTGATGGAGTGGAATCATGAGACTTGATTATTTTGCTGATTCCATATTGTTGGGATAAAGAACTGCTGAGTTGTATTGTTGACTTATATTTGTTGTTGCAGGTTGAGAAAGCATGCTCCTGTTCCTTTATGCTTGTTGAGGATTTTTTTGATGAGACGTTACGTTTGAAGCTGCATTGCCTTGAGTTGAATGAGTCACAAGTTGGTACCATTCATTCTGTTATTTGTGCTATAAGGTGTAATCATTCATGTACTATACAAGAGATTTGTGGATTACCTGGCACAGGGAAGACTGAAGTTGTTTGCTTGATTTCGTTGATTGCCATGAGATTAAAATGTAAAGTCCTTGTTTGTGCACCAAATTTATGTTCTCTTATGGAGATTGTTTCACGTTTCCGGAAGTTTGTTGGTGAATCTTCCAATATCTCTACTGCACATGGTATATCAAGATGTAACTTGACAGAATTTGTAGCATTTGTTGGTAAAAATAAGGAACAAGTGAACTTTACCGGTGACATTACTGATATTAATTTAAAGCAAGCCTGTCTTATTTTCTGCACAGCATCTACTTTATCCAGGTTGCATTTGTTGGGGCAAAGTAGTTACTTGGATGTACTGGTTGTTGATAGAGCTGCTCAAATAAAAGAGTGTGAGTCAGTTGTTTCATTGCAGCTTAAAGGCTTAAGACATGTTCTCCTTGTTGGAAATGATTACGAGTTGCCATCTGCTGTTGTTAGCAAGGTTGGACTCTTGGCTCGTTCAGTTTTTCAAGTATATCTTCCACGTGTTAAATTGATTTTGATTTTGTTTGTCAGATTTCGGAAAGTGCTGGCTTTGGGAGAAGCCTTTTTAGAAGATTGGGATTTCTACGACCTCCAAAACGACTTCTTGATATACAGTACAGGATGCATCCTTCTATAAGCTATTTCCCAAATGTGAAGTTTTTCAATGGACAACTTTTAAATGGTCAGAATGTTATGGATAAAAGCTATGAGAAGCAATATCTCTTAGAACACATCTATGGTTCATACTCGTTTCTAAATGTTGCTGATGGTAGAGAAGTTCCTGGTGAAAATGGTGATAACTGGCAAAATTTTGTGGAGGCAGCAGTCATCTGTAAGATTTTGATGAAAATCAATCAAGGCAAGTTATTCAGAGTTTTTAGTTTGTGATCAATTTTTTAAGTTCTCAGATATCTGTTTTCTTGGGCATATTGGTAAATATAATAAAAAAAAACAAAATCAAAACCAGGGGGTGGCTTGACCCCAATCATCCATCAAACTAATATATGATAGTCCCATGAGAAGTCGGAAGATAGGTATTAGTCTTCTGCGTGCCAAAGATTTCCAAGCCAATCTGCTGCTTGGTTCCCTTCTCTCCATGTGCAATTACAAGTTTATAAAAGGTTGAATTTTAGCAATCTCTGCAATCATGTGGTAATCCTTTACGAAACTCTGGCATCTCTAGGGGGCATAGGGGGCATGATATCTACTTTAAGCTTTCTCTTGCAACCTTTGAATTTCCTTGAATCATGATTTTCTGAACCCTTCTGGAGCTGAAATTTTATGTGCTTTTTTGGTGGCCTGCATATCAGTTACAGTCATCGAGGATATTCCTGTCTTTCCTGCCTTTGCTACTTGGATTTTATGCTGGTTGTTTCTAGCCATATATCTGGCTAATGGGGCTGTCTATTTTACCCATGCCCATTTTTCTCATTGCAGTTGATATTAGGTGCAAGTTTGACATTTTAATATTCCATGGGGCCATACTGCAATATCAACTATTAGGGCTGGGTCCATTTCCCTGTTCTTTTGAAAGTTCTTATATTCCTGTTTTTTGAAATAAACCAAAAAGGAGATGCAACCTTCCCCTAAAAATTCTGTACATGTTTATTCCTATTTAAATCTAGCATCCTTCTCCACCAAAGAATAAAAGTATTATCATCTCCTTCTGAGGTTTCTGCATCTTTACATAATGAACAATCAAGATCTGCAGTCGCTCCTCTGCATCTTCACAAAATCAACAGCCTTAATGTGGAGAAGTAATTGTTGATTGAGAAGAGTTGAAAATCCCACCTGCAATAATCAGAAATAAAAGAAAAGAAAAACAAGAGACAAGAATATCAGTAATGTCACCCCCTGGTTTTGATGGCGTCTATCGTTTCTGGGGGGCATAGGGGGCATAGGGTATATCAACTGATACAGTTCTCAGATATCTGGTTTGTCTTCTTGACACAAACGCCCCTTGATCCGGAGAAATCAAGGATGGTAGTACCTTTTTTATTCTTTCTGCCAAGACCTTTGAGATTATCTTATACAAACTACCAATTAGGCTTATGGGCCTTGTTAGTGAAGGGGTATTTCGGTCTTTGTACCTGTTGAGAATGTTAATGTGTACTATTATGTTAGTTCGAGTGCCTCTTACTTAAATAAGGGCACTTATGTCTTTTCCAATTATATTAATAATATAATAACAGGTCTGGCCGAAACTAGGGTTGACTTATCCCTAATTCGAACCAGACCTTTTCTGTTCTTCTTCCTGTTTCTTCCTTCTTTCCTCTCTTCCTTCTTGCTGTTTACTTTACTTTTCAGCTAACAAACAAAACAGACTTCTAGGGCAGGTCGAACTTCAACATGGTATGAGAGCAACATTAAACAAATCAGACTTGCTAGAATTCTGTTTTCTGCGCATTCGAACTAGGGTTTCTCTTGGATTTCTTAGCCGTTGGTTGGAGAYTGGGAAAAGGGCTGAAAAGGAGTGATCGCCCTCTTCCCTTGGAGGTTTCTATGCCTCCGGTTGTGTCGTTGGTGATTGGTTGCTGTGGTTTCCAAGCCCTCCCCTAATTATTGTAGGGTTGGTACTTGTGGTGTAGTGGTGTTTCATTCCTTCGTGTGGTTGGCCTTCAAGCGATGAGGTAAGGAGTTTTTTTTATGCATATTTTCTGTTATGGAACACATGAGAGGTGTGGCAGATCGTATGATGGGTTTTCAGATTGCAGTATGCTAGGGTTTATGCTGGTTTGTGTGTGATTCGAAGGGAAGTAGTGTTTACTTAATGGTGAAACTTCCGGTAGCTGTGGAGTAGGGTTTGTGGTGTTACAAGTGTGGCTTTCAGC